CCAACTCTCTGGGGGAAACAAAAACACTAAAGGCAAACAGACTATTTTGGATTTCGTAGGTCTGCATTTCAAATCATTCTTAAGGCCTATTGGAGCTTTAAATTTTGAATTGATTGAAGCAGCATCGAAAGCCACGGCTGCAAAATAAGCTGTGATTTCAAATATTCCCCTCGCCTTATGCTGGTATCGGAATGAGAAATGAACTTTCCCACCATTCCTCATATGCTTTTGTGCTATAAGACGCATTATTAGGTTTTCCAGACAGGAGGGGGAATCCATGACTGCGTGACACCTGTGATAAAGGCTCCGGGATTAAGGCGTCTTGTGTACGTACATGTTGAATTGCTGGAACTCCGTTAAGTCTTCCACTTATGCTAATCCCTCTTGAAATAACGTTTTACTGAGGTGTGGGAGACGACCAGCTGCTTGTTTACAGGCTCGGTGGATGTCAGTCCCTAGAAACTGGACATCTATACCTTTTGGTCTGAACATAGATTACCGGTTAACAAATAAACAAGTATATCTTTCACATTAGGCGCGCCGAATTCCTAGAAAGTTGCAAATCTGTGAGCTGACTTTACAGCTAATCTTGTGTTGCACAGGTGGATTACAATGGTACAACAGATGGACACAATCTCACGGTGCCAGGACAAACATCACACTAAACACTGAGAACTCTTAAACAGCGTCTTGCTAGGTTTTGAGTTTTATAAAAACTTTATTACATCCACAAAAAAAAGGTTTGCCTTACAGTGCTTACGACAACATGTCCTAACTCGTAGTTTATTAAGTTTCGCTTAACATGTCAAACTTCTCGTTGAAAGTCAGGCACACAGAGACAATATTCATTCCTGTTCTCCATCCTTGTCTTTGCTCCCCTTCGTAGTTTGTCGGCATCTCTTCATATGACGTGCAGGAGAGATCACAGTCTTAACTCATGTGGTCTAATGCTCTCAAATCCCTTCACATGTAAGAGACACTATGATAGTCTTTGTAATCGGTTTCCCAGTGTTGGCAATAAATAAGGACATTGGAGGGGGTTTCTATATACTGCATGTATCACAACCATCCGGTTACAGCCACATGTCCCCAGCATTGGTCCTCACAAGTCGTGTCTGCTTGACATCAAAGTCACCGTGTGCTTCAAACACCGGGATTCAAATACTTTGTGGCTCGTCGTCAAGGCCGTCCTTTCTCTCTTCATCTTAGTCCTCGTTGAGATCAGTACTCCCTCAGGATGGAGGTCTCCCTGGCCGGCCCCGGGCTGTTGGAGAAGGCCAGCGAGCTGTGGCTTGTTGGACTGTGCGAGTGTGGGAAGAAGGAGGGGATGTAGGGCATGGCGGCCAGCAGCAGTGGGCTGCCCTGGGGGCTTTCGTCAGGGGACAGAGGGATGACCACGTCGTCCTGGTCCCACACGTGGAAGGCATTGTGGGCGAATGGATGTGGGGGCGGATGGCCGGGTCCCCTCAGTTGAGGGTTGTTGTCCTTGTCTTCGTCCTCGTCACCAGCTGGACCCAGTAGACAATCTAAACAAGGAAGACAGGGGTCAGCGGAGAAGTCTTAACAGTTAAAGTAATGGAGGACAGCAAATGGTGGAATAAGGTTTATTACTATTATTATTGTTGCACGAACAATTTTGAAAGTTAGCTAAAAGTAATGACTATCTAACTAAATGGTTGAATTAGCCGTTGGTAATTCACAAATGGGTATAAACGAAGCAATAGAAAGAACATTAGAAAGAGTAGGCTGGCAATTTAAAAAGTTAGTTACAAATCAAGAGTATAAAGGTAAAAGTAAAGGACAGATGGTGAAGATGGCTAAACTTAGCTAATTGATAAATGGTGAAAAGTTAGCTAAATGATAAACTGGTCAAACGGTTAAATGAACTGAGAAACTGATGATATAACAGATTTGAAAAGTTAGCTAAAAGTTGTAAGTTATTAACCAACATGAATTCGCCATTGGAAGTTCAAAGATGTTGGAAAACTGAGCGATAAGCATCAGTTATGAACGACGGCATTACTAGACGGCTACATGTAGCTAATGGATAAACAGTTAATATATTTAAAAAATAAAATACATAAATGGTAAAATAGTTTGCTAAACAGTTCTATATGGCGGGTAAACGGTGAACTACCAGGTAAGGTCAATAGGTGAACAATTTGAACGTTAGCTTCAATGAATTAGTGAATAACTAGCTAATTGAAGCCATTGGTAATTTGTAATAATAATAATTATATATATATAAACACACCACCAAATGCAAAGGACAAATTGGGCAACTAGGCAGCTAACTGTAGTTAACAGGTAAACATTACTTGGTCAGATGTAATGGGTAAATGGATGAAATAGTTATTAAAAAGTGACGGTAAACAGCTGGAACTGGTCCATGTATTGGATAAATTGTGAAATAACATCAGGTAATATTTAAAAAGTGGACAATTTAAGAAGTTAGCTAAAGGTAATGTGTAATAGGTAACTAACAATAATGGATAAACATGAATTGGCTGACGGATAACCTAAAACAACAGACTCATGATTTAAAAAACAGACAGTAAATGCACTGTGACCAGCCCTGAGTACTGCCTTATTATATTATATTATAATAATTCACCCAGATGTGTTGTGTTTCTCTCTCACTTTAACCCTGCTTTAGAACAACAACTACAATCAATACATTACAAAAACAATTTAAAAAAAGACTCTACCTGCTATGTCAATGGCCAGATCCTTGATGAGGTGTCCAACAATGGCATAGGCAACTCCAACAACCACCAGAGCGGCCATGAGCAGATACACGACCCCCTTGGGTAAAGGGATGAGGTCCTTGGGTGGGGGTTTGTACTGCTTGTACAGAGGCTCGTCTATTGAATACGGGTAAGCTTGTGCCCCTCCTGTGCCATTGAAACCGGTCAAATTATAACCATTCATGGTTAAGGACTAAAGGTTGCGCTTCTTCGTCACTTACAGCTGGTTCATTGTCCAGAGCGGTGCTCTTTACGCAGAAAGGTGACGGGAACCACTGAGCGGACAGGATCTCCAATTCTGTACAAAACGAGAGGAAATGACAAAGTAGATTAAAATCGAGTTTGGTTGAGCATTGGGAGCATTGAGTACTTCAGCGTGGGACGTATTTACCTTGTTTTCGAGCTCCGCAACCATCCGGTCCATCAGAGCGCACGACTGGCTCCGGCTTGGTGTCCGCTCCTTATGTGAGGGATCTGGAGCCGCTGCTGCCTCCTGCTCTGTCCTTGGTGCTGAAGCGAACCGTGCCAGCAGTTGTGAGCTGTCGGGTCCGCCCACTCGGACCACTGTTCCCTCTGCAGCGACTCGCTCCACTCGGCGCATTACGCACCGCTGCTGCGCGCCCTTAATTCCTTGAACTTACCGAGAAGACGCCTCGTTGGAAATCTAGTCAAGTCCTTTCCAGTGGCTATTTTCGCTCATCCCAAATAGTTAGAAAGTTTCCGGACCTCTATCTGACGCTGAAGGTGACAACTTGCCTGCCTCGTGTACTGAAAGCTCACAGCATTGGAAGCATTGAGCAAATAAACAAACAAACAAATGTCTCTCAGCCTCTTCTGTGATTCTCACACGAAGAAGATGATTGATCTTATTGTGTTGCATGCAGGACTTGAACACTTTTACTTTTTTAACTCTCTCTACCTACTGTCAGTGCATTTTTTGAAGGTTTTTGCAAGTTTCAGGAGCAACATGTGATCTCTAAAAGCTGCCACGTTTCTAATATTTGGATGCATGTAAACTCCCTCTACTCACTATCAATATACATCTTTTTGTTTGTTTATTTGTTAATTTTTTTAATCTGCTGGTCCCTGTCCTACCTACAGATTCATTGGAGGACAGTTTAGATCTTTCATCCAAATCAATCTGGTTTCTCAGATGGAAAAATGGCACAGCTGCATTGTTGTAAAGATCAGGTGTTGATCAGCGTGTGAGCCACAACTTTAGTCGTGTTTTTTCGTCTGTATCTCTTCACGTTTTGCCAAACTGTCACTTGAATGGTGTGGAGCTTCAAAGGACATTTTTGATCCTCTTGGTGCCAGCTGAAAATCTTATTTTTGGTGATCTGCGGTAGTTTACCTTCCCATCTTGGTGCAGTGATAAATCAGTGTGTGTTACTGACACACACACAGAGTGACGTGTTGGTTGTAGAGCCTAAAGAGGCCGGTGCTGCTTTGTCCTGCTGGTCAGGGTTTCTTGAACAAACATTGATGTGGAGGTTTGCAATTCTGGAATAAAAAGTCAGATCCTTAAGTAAAGGTACCAATAGAGCAATATAAAAATACTACATTACAAGTAAAGGTCCTGCATGAAAAATCCAAGTTAAGTAGAAGTACATACTAGCAGCAAAATGTAGTTAAAGTATTAAAGTCCTGGTTTGGTTCCTCTGACTGATACATATTATTATATGACGTGATTATAATATTGGTGTTGGTGGAGCTGGTTTGAAACTACTTTATATCCAGTTTTATAAGCAAGGACATCAATCTGAGGGCTACAAACATGAATAACGGCAAAGAAATAGAGAAAAAACAAAGTCCTGAAACACTAATCTGTTGTCAATTTGGATTTTTTTCCCCTCTAGTCTTTGATTTTTGCCGATATTGGATCATTTGAATATTTACTGAAATTAAACAATTCAAAGTTTAGAGGGGAATCATTTGATGAAGCTGTTAAGACCTCTGACATGTGAAATGTGACTCATTTAATCTCTACCAGTGTGTTGTAGTTTATAAACTTGTCATATAACTGCCTGAACCCGTCCACCTTCAAATCACTCACTGAAACTCAACACAAATGCTTTTAATATATGATTGTGTTTAAATTCACTCGATGCTTCTTGCTTTCTTCTGTTTTTTTTGTTTTTTTTGCATGTTGTTCTTATTTCTCGTTGTTTTTATTCACTGTGCAGCATCTTCGGAAAAGCGCTTTATAAATAAAATGTACTATTATTACTATTATTATATAATCCGTTGTTTAAAATGTACGTCTTAAAAGCATTTAAAGCTGTCAGACGTATGGAGAAGAGCAGGAAATCTAGAAACTCCCTCTGAAATACAGTGAAGTGGAGTTAAGTACAAGTATCCTAAATGTTCTTAGTTATTTGTGACCAAAGCTTTGATCGGGTCAGCTGGTGAGGGGCTGCAGTTGCCATAAAACATGCTGAAGATCGTCCACAATGCGGTTCCTGGTTTGCATGCGTTTGTAAATTCCATTTCTTGTCATACAGTATTTCTACAGACTGCTGTCGGTCGTACGTAGATCGATTCGTCTCCTCGTGTTACAGCTCTGTCAGTCATTTTACAGGCACCTGCTGACTCCTGTTGTCTGCCCGCTGGTGCGAGCCTTCACACTGATAGACGTTTATTTAAGCTGCAGGTTTACAACAGATTCTTGGTGAAAGCGAGTGTAACCTCGACTAATTCAAGACTGATGTAGAATATTAGAAAATCAGCAGCAGAAATCGTTCCCATGGGAGGAGGTGTCACAGCTGTCAGTGCTGTTTGTGTGTAGCTAGGTGTTGCGTGTCCTATTTCCAGGTTACGACCCTGAGAAGCAGCGTGTCAGCGTTCAGGTGCACGTGTGGTCACTCAGGAATCAACAAGGGGCTTAAAAGCCGAGCTCGTACTCACTGGTGGGCCATTCTGCAGCTTATGAGCCGTGTCGTGATCTTTGTGGCCTCCAGATAAGCTTGTTAGAAGAAGCTCACCTTACGTTTACCTTGTTTACTACCTCATTGGTAATAATCGTCCTGGC